CCCCAACCCCTCTGCTGGCCTGCCCGCCCAGGGCCTGCCAGGGGCTCTTGCAGCTCTCGCCCACCTCGTAGACACAGCAGAGCCGGGCCATGTGGTGGAGGATGAGCTGCCTAGCCCAGGGGGGCACGGGCCGGGCCCCCGGACCACAGTGGTGGACGTTCATGATGAAGATGGTCAGCGCAGTGGAGGCCGTGATCATAGTCATGGTGGCAATGTAGTACTTCCCTGCATGGGGAACGGGCAGTGACACCACGGCACAGAGGTTAGAGACCTGCACACCCCCTCCCCACACTGCAGCCACCCTGGCAGGGGTGCTGCCCATCACCCCAGTGCAGACGCCCTGGTCCCATGGGAGGGTCCTGGGTGTCAACAAGGCTCACCAATGAGTGGGACATTCTCTGATGGCGGCATGCTCTCTGCCACCAGCAGCTGGAAGACAGTAAGGGCCAGCAGCACCGTCACCCCCAGCGAGACCTTCTCCCCCGAGTCAGCCGGCAGGTAGAAGCTGAGGGGTGCCAGGAAGGAGACCATGATGCAGGGCAGGAGCAGGTTGAAGATGTAGAAGGAGGCGCGGCGACGGAGGAGGAGCGTGTAGGTGACGTCGGGATAGGGCTCGGAGCAGCAGCCGTAGGTGATGACATTCCTCGTGGCCGGCATGCCCAGCACCTCCCACTCCACATTCTCCACGAAGTCTGCCAGGTCCCCGGCATCCAGCTGGTTGCGGAGGTCAAGCTGGTTCCCGTTGTAGGTCCAGGAGCCGAAGGTGAGGTGGCAGTGCTGCCCGTCGAAGGGGAAGTAGGAGACATCCACCTTGCAGGAGCTCTTGGTGATGGCGGGCGAATCCCACATGATGTGCCCATCAGAGCGCAGCACCACGTTGGTCTCCATCGAGCCGCCAAAGTGGTCATCGGCGCTGGGGGAGGGATGGCCGTGGGGCAAGGGTCTGCGGGGCCAGGGCCAAGCCCCTGTCCCCAGCACCCTGTCATCTCCCCACCCACACCAGGACCACCCCATGTGCAGCTGTGCAGCCCCCCCCAGCCCCAGCCTGAGCCCCTCCCAGCGCCGGGAGCAGTGTGAGTACAACCCACTTGTTGTAGAGGATGATGTCTGGCCGCCAGACATAGCTGCTGGGAACACGGATGCTGTCGATGCCATCATAGGCGCCCTTGTCCCAGGTGAGGTGGGCGTCCAGCCAGGCCTGGCGCACCCACAGGTAGGAGGTCAGGACCTGGTTCCTCTCATCCTGCCGAGGGGAGAGGATGGGTGTGGGGAACAGACCCTGGTGCCGCTCACCCCCCATCTTAGTCCCCAGCCTGGCAGCTCTTGCAAGGGTCCTGAGGGGCTGAGCTGCCTTCGAGGGGAACGTGCTGTTTTTGGGGGTGTTGGAGAGGTCTGAGCTGGTTTCAAGTGGTCCAAGCTCATTTCAGGGAGGGGAGTGTGTGTGCCAGTTTTGGGGGGTCTGAGCTGTCTTCAAGTGGTCTGAGCTGACTCAAGGGCAGCTGGGCAGGGTTCGAGGGGTCTGGGCTGGTTTTGAGGGGCAAGCATCAGCTCTGGGTTGAGCAGGACCTGGTATAGGAGAGCAGAGCCCGGCTAAGCAGTGGCCAGGAGTGTGATGGGGATGGTCTCAGTCTGGCTGGGCTGCTGGTGATGGTGCCAGTGCCGTGCCCGGCCACTCACCATGTCGATGATTTGGGAGAGGGTGACCTGGAGGGTGACATTGAGCGCCCGGTCGGTGTCCTCCACAGGGCGCAGGGCGCTGGAGTAGTTGTCGAAGAGGTCGTGGAGCAGCTTGTAGGCGAACTTGCCCTGTGCCCCGCGGCAGCCTGCACAGACCCACACCGGGGCTGGAGGGGCTGCAGTCGCAAATGCTGGGGGTGCAGCCAGACACTTCCCCAGGGACCCCCAGGACCCAGCGACAGGGACCCACTGGTAGCTGAGTGAGGTGGGGGAGCATGGCGGGACCCCCGACCCTCCCCACGACCAGCCCAAGCCCCTCTGTCCCACAGATCCTGTCCCTCACCCAGAGATGCCCCATATGCAGGGATGCTACTGCTCACAGGGGCTGGGTGGGGGTCAGTGCCCCTCGCTACCCCTGCTGTCGCTTACCCGGGGCCAGGAGGCAGCTGGCCAGGCAGAGGGTGAGCAGCCGGTGACCTCCG